GGCCAAGTCACTATCTGAACCAACCCCGGTTCAGACTGTATCGTGGCAAGCTCTACAGTAGCGCTGAAGGCACACTACGCCCTGGCGCCTTCCAAATTCGTACAGAGGTATGTGTTCCACCAGTGGCTGCAGTGAGAGGGAGAGACAATCAGCGCATACATGGCCGCCCTGCGTAAGGCAATGACACACTGCGAGTACTGAGACTTGGATGACGCGCTCCTAGAGCAACTAATCTGCAGCGTGAGAGATATTCGGCTACAGAGAAGACTGCTCGCCCGGGCTAATCTAACTCTATACATCGCACTAGATGAGGCGAGGGCTCATGAATCCTCTACAAAGGCTGCAGAAACCCTACAGACACCAGCTCAAGGACAACACAGCGATCAACCCCGGTACACTGTGAGACGGTCCAAACAGAAAGCGAGGGGGAGTCTGACGAAGACGTCTTCCAGACCGAAAAATACCAGCAGGACCAGAGAGACCACCGAGAAACCTGTGCGAGCTGCAGAAGGTCCCACCATCACCAGACCTGTAAATTTAAAGATGCCATTTGCAGGCACTGCGATAAGAAGGGCCACCTAGCAAGGGTCTGCAGAGCTACTCAACCAGCCAACCATAAGTCACGAGGCGCCTCCAGCCAACCAGAGCCGGCACCGCAGAAAAGAACCAACAAACATGGCGACTACCGGAAGGGCGTGAAATTCAAAGACTGTGAAACCTACACCACCCGCATTGGCCATGCAAGCACAACGCCGGCGAAAAGGGTGTACACCATGGTCGAGATAGAAGGGAGCGAGTGCAAGATGAAGCTCGATACCGGCTTGCCGCTGACCATCATGTCCTGGGCCAACCTACGGAAGGCTGTACCCAGCATCCAGAAGCACCAGCTAAGATACCAGAGGCTCGGACTACGCAACTACCAGGGCAACCGCATTCCAGTGGAAGGACACGGCATATTCCAAGTCATGTACGGGGAGTACTGGAAGAAGCTGCCCCTCACTGTGGTAAGCCAGAATCTGTCAAGCCTCCTGGGATTGGACTGGTTCGATGCCCTGGGAATGGGGTTCACTGGAGTCCACAACGTGAGCAGCCGACAGGAAATGAACACCCTGAAGGACGACCTGATGCAGGAATTCCAGGACATTTTCGATGAACGGCTCGGCAAGTATGTGGGGCCCCCTATCTTGTTTAACCTCAACCCCAATGTTGCCCAATCCAGCTAAAACCCAGGAGGGTGCCCTTCGCCCTAAAGCCAAAGATAGACATTGAGCTAGACAAACTGATCAAACAGGGGATGTTAGTTCCCATCTACCACGCTAAATGGGAGACCCCAATTGTGACCCCAGTTAAGCCTGATGGGTCTGTGCACATCTGTGCAGATTATAAATGCACAATTAATAAGGCTCTCCAACAGAGCGCTTATCCAGTACCCATTGTGCACCATTTGCTCCATTCCCTGGGCCCTGGCAAGATTTTTGCTAAACTCGATCTTGTGCAGGCATAACAGCAACTGCCAGTAGATGGCACTACCCCGGAGGCACAGACTATCGTAATGCACAGAGGTGCCTTCAAGTGTACTAGACTCCAACTCGGAGTCAGTATAGCTCCAGGGCTATTTCAGAGCACAATGGAGCGACTGCTACAAGGGCTGCCTGGGGATGTCCTCATCACCACAGAAGATGAGCAGCAATTGGGGGAGCAGACTAAGGGCAGTGTTAACGAAATTCAGGAGCACTGGCCTCAGAGCCAAGCGCAACAAATGCATGATCTCAGTCCCCTCTGTGGAATTCCTGGGGTACCGGATAGATGGAACTGGCATTCACCCCACTGAAACCAAGATCAGGGTGATTCGAGAGGCACCCACCCCCAAGAACAAGGCGGAACTACAGGAGTTTTTGGGTCTCCTCAATTTCTACGCTATTTTCCTGTGGGACAGGGCAACAGTAGCGGAACCCCTACACAGACTATTGGTAAAGAGTACACCATGGGTCTGGGGTAAAGCAGAATCTGCTGCATTTGCCGCGGTAAAGAAACTCTTGTCAGAGGACAGTTTCCTGATCCAATACAATGCCACACTTCCCCTTGTGTTAGTCCCCATTTGGCGTAGGGGCTGTGCTGAGCCACAGACTACCAAATAGACTAGAGGCACCCATTGCTTATTATTCCCACACCCTGTCCAGCGCTGAGCGGAACTACAGCCAACTGGACAAAGAGGCTTTAGCAGCTGTATCCGGGGTTAAGAAGTTCCACGAATATCTATTTGGCCGGGACTTCGAACTTGTCACAGACCATCGGCTGCTTTTGGGTCTCCTGGTAGGGGACCGCCCAACTCCTGCTGCCTTGTCTCCCCAGATAACACACTGGGCAATCTTTAGCGGCATATTCATATCGGCTGGTACATCGGCCAGGATTGAGTTTGGGACATGCCGATGCCCTCAGCTGCTGCCCATTACCGGACATTCTAGAAGACCCTACACCTGGAGTTCTGGTCTTACTTATTGACGCATTGGACTCGGGGCCTCTCAGTTCTGCGGAAGTGGTGAGAGCCTCTGCCAAAGACCACATGTTAAAGACAGTCATGAGTTGGGTCATGAGGGGGTGGCCGGGAAAGACTGAAGGCGAGGAATTCAAATGTTTTTGTAAGAAACGTAACAAATTGTCTATGCAAGGGGGTTGCTTATTGTGGGGTGATTGAGTTGTTGTTCCCTTGTGCCTAAGGTTTTACAATTGTTGCATGAGGGACACCCGGGGATTGTGAGAATGAAGGGACTAGCCAGGAGTTACGTATGGTGGCCAAACATGGACAACGACATCACTGAGTGGGTGGGGAAGTGTCAGCCCTGCCAAGAGTCTAAGCCAGATCCCCCCACAGCACCCGCAAGAGAATGGGAATGCCCCAGGGCCCCTGGTCAAGAATCCATATAGATTTTGTGGGCCCCTGTCACAGCCAAACCTTCCTGGTCATAGTTGACGCTTACTCGAAATGGCTCGAGATCAAGCTAATGAAATCCACTACCACTGATGCGGTAATCAGGGTGCTCAGGAAGTTATTTGTCACCCATGGTCTACCGGACACACTAGTCTCAGACAACGGGCCCCAATTCACTGCCACACAGTTCAAGGGGTACCTGGCTGAGCTAGGGATCAGGCACGCCCTGTCTGCCCCGTTTCATCCAGCCAGTAATGGGCGGGCTGAACGTTTTGTGAGAACGGCCAAGGAGGCACTCTCACAATTAGGCCCCGGGGACTGGCAAGCAAGGGTAGATAAATTTCTGGCTGCCCAACATGCCACACCATGCACCGCCACCGGGCGCAGTCTGGCTGAACTACTGATGGGTTGGAAACCTAGGTGCATACTGGATAGGTTACACCCTAACTATTTCCCCAACAGTTTCAAGGGTTCAGAAAAAAACTAAGGGAATTCTCGGTAGGGACGCCAGTGTATGCCAGGAACTACGCAGACGGGCCCCTATGGGAAGCAGGAATGATCACGGACATTACCGGCCCCAAATTGTACAGGGTAGACATGGTAGATGGGAGAGTATGGCGCAGACATGTAGACCAATTACAGAAACGGGTAGTCGCCAAAACAGAAACCATCCTTGACGATCCGATCCCTAACTACCAACCAATTCCAACAGTGAGCTCAAGCCCGAGACAAGCGGGGAACTTATCTGAAGACTTCGGTGTCCAGACCCGACAGCCCGAGGAATTGAGACCAACCGAAGAGGTCAACACCCCCAGCAAAATCCAGGAGGTTCCATTGGCAGAGCGGGGAGAAACAGGAGGTCCCTCCGACCCGCTTGATGCCACACCTCAAACTGAACTGCGCAGATCTACTAGGGTCCGTATACACCCTGGTCACCTGTGTGATTTTGTATGTAAATGTATATCCCAAGTGCCTTCTGGGAAGGGAGGGGTGTTATGTATATAGTTTTGGCGGGAAAGTTTGAATGTAATTGCTCTCAGCTGATTGGCTGATTGCCATGACTGTAAAGTATATAAAAGGAGCTGTTTCCCTGGGTCAGTTGCAGGATTCACACCATGAAGTAAAGAGCTATTGTCACTCACTACCTTGCTGTTGTGTCCTCATTCACCCAACTTAACACTGACCAATCATATTCAATGTGTAGTCCTCAATGGAACTGCATCTACATGGAGGGAAGTATGCAGTGGAGTACCCCAAGGCTCTGTGTTAGGCCCAGTACTCTTCAACATCTTCACCAATGATTTTGATGGGGAACCCATCAAATTTGCAGATAACACCAGCCAACACTCCAGAAGATAGGCTTCAGATACCTTCAGAAGGATCTTGACAGACTTGAACATTGGGTGCTATCTAAGAAAATGAAATTAAATGGTGAAAAAAGTAAGGATCTCAAGCCCCATCAGGCAGAAGGTACTCCATCAATGAAAGAAAAATCACATGGCCAGCCCATTTTAACCAGGTAGGATCAAAATGAAGTTTCCAGTTTGAAAATCAAAATAGATGGCCTTCTTTTCAGCAATTAACAATTGCCAGTATTGTTATGATAAGTGTCTGGAAGAGGACAAACTTGATATTTTCAATCCTATTTGTGAAATTTTTTGCAAAGCTAGTTTGCAAGGGGAAGGAGGACTGAAAGAAATTGATGGCTTCCATTCTCTTTTTCCACAAGGAAATGGAGAATTTTCAAGTGAGAAAATTTATTTCTGAATTACTTCTAATTTGGGACATTAATGTCTCAACATTATTAGTGATGAAAAAAGACTACTTAGAGTAAGGGTAAGGTTCATCAATAATACATGCTATTTTGGATCAGTTGTTTCTTATATGTGTACATATCTGCACAAACACACATACACAAAACTAATGAATATTTTTTAGAAGTATATGATGCATGTACTGATTTCTGAAAATGGTTGGATTCAAGGAAATAAAATATATTTCTCTCTCTCATTAATGAATAGACTATACCTCTTGCTCTGTGCAATGATCATTGCCCACCAGGCTCCAGAAAGAAAAGGAAGGAAGGGAAGCCATTTTGTTGCTATGATTGTAATACTTGTCCATCAAGAAAATTTTCAAATGAAAGAGGTAGGAAATATTGTATTGTTATATTTATTTATGTGCAACTGTGCATATCCATAAAGGCACACAGATATCACACACATAGCAATAGCATTTAGATTTATATGCCACTTCACAGTGCTTTGCAGCCCTCTCTAAGTGTTTTACAGAGTCAGCATATTGCCCCCCAACAATCTGGATCCTGATTTTACCAACCTCAGAAGGATGGAAGGCTGAGTCCATCTTGAGCCTGGTGAGATTCGAACTGCCAAATTGAAGGTAGCCAAAAATCAGCAGAATTAGTCTGCAGCACTGCATTCTAACCACTGCACCACCACGGCTCTGCACCAGAATCATCACATCTACCTTGGAGGACTGAAGCCAATGAATGATGAGAATTATTGCACATTGCAGTTCCAAGAACCATAGTTGTCCACTGATGTTTTATGACATAGAAAGTTCTCAATTAATAAATATTTCTCAGTAAACAAAAGTACGCAAATTTGAAATATTGCTATGAATTCTGAAATACCTATTTTCACAGATATGGATGACTGCTTAGACTGTCCAGAAGAACAATATCCAAACAAGGAAAAAAATACATGCATTCCCAAGGATCTAAATTTCTTGTCTTATAATGAAACTTTGGGCATCACTTTGACAGTTCTGGGTCTATCATTTTCTGTGACCACAGTGGTGATACTTGGAATTTTCATAAAACATCGGAATACTCCCATTGTCAAAGCTAACAACCGGAATCTCACTTATCTTCTCCTTGTCTCCCTCTTCCTCTGCTTCCTCTGTTCCTTGCTGTTCATTGGTCAGCCCCAATTCCTGACCTGTCTTCTTCGCCAAATTTCTTTTGGGATCATCTTCTCAGTTGCAGTTTCTTCAGTTTTGGCCAAAACCATCACAGTGGTTCTAGCTTTTATGGCTACTAAGCCCGGATCAAAAATGAGAAAATGGGTGGGGAAAAGATTTTCATACTCTCTGATTCTCTGTTGTTCCTGCATTCAAGCAAGTATTTGCATATTGTGGCTGTGCACTGGCCCTCCTTTCCCAAATTTGGACATGCATTCTCTTCCAGAAGAGATTGTAGTTGAATGCAATGAAGGATCAGGCAACATGTTCTATTATATTTTAGGATATATGGGATTTCTTGCTCTCATCAGCTACATTGTGGCTTTCTTGGCTCGAAAACTGCCAGACTCTTTTAACGAAGCCAAATTTATTGCTTTTAGCATGCTGGTGTTTTGTAGCGTGTGGATGACTTTTGTCCCAACGTATCTGAGCACCAAAGGAAAATACATGGTGGCTGTGGAGATCTTCTCCATCTTGGCTTCTGGTATAGGAATATTGGGATCTATCTTTTTCCCTAAATGCTACATCATTGTAATGAGACCAGAACTCAACACAAAGGACCATCTAAAAACAAAAAACTAAAAATTACTAATATTGATTGATTTTGAAGAATTTAGCATGGTCTTGAAAAGAAAGTTGAAGAGATAAAATGTTGATCAGTCATGAGGAAGTGGAATGTGTGAGGAAAAGATGTAGAATAGCTCCAACTTGTCCTCAATGCTCTTAAAATGAGGAAAGTCGATTGTTTGGACTAGATTTCAACTGTCTGTTTCTATAACGTATCACAATAAAGTAGTATTCCTGGAATTCCTGCACCATCAGATTCGTGACCTGGCTCACTTGAAAAGGTTGACGCAGTTACATAAAGATTCAGTGACATAAAAGGCATACTACTTGGGTACTATTAGCTAGCACTCCTTAATAAACAGTACCTAAAGCATGCTACTCCTGCTGGAGCTGATGGAGCAGACAGAGACAATTGGAGGAAGTTGCACCTACAAATATCCTGCTCCCATGCCATGTAAGACTTTGTAGATCGCATGAGTTACATCAGCAAGCTATTAATATTTATTGATAATACATTAAGCAACCAAAGGTGTGTTACTACTTACTACGTTTTGAACTGTTCTCAAAATGTCCAATAAATTCTGAGATATGTTTTAGTATATCTGCAGCCAAGTTTCATTCAGCAGCCAAGTTTCAATGTCATATTCACGCAGAACCCTCCACAATTCAGGCTGATTTAGTTTATCGTGCACTTTCTCTAAATCAAATATTGTACTATTTTGTTGGATCGATGTTTCTAGCAATTATTCTTAGTTTAGTTATTTAATAATATGAACAGTTGGTACAAAATCAGTCCTATCATTTACTCACATTTGCAGCAAATATATTTTTATGTATTTACAAAGTTTTCATGTAAAGAAGAGGAAAATATATGGAGAACGCTTAAAGTATATGTCAGGCCTGGAAGCCATCTTTTGCATTGGATCCTCAGGCCTGCCACATTTAGTGTTGTGGGAAGGGAAGGAAGGGAAGATTGTATGGAGCAGGGGAGATATGTAGTCATAATAACATTCCTTACTCTGAGAGTCAAGGACATTTTGCCTTGCACCTGGAGGGGTGTGACTAGGAGATATCGCCAATTGGGACAGTGCATTGATTTGGCCATGTGATGGATATGTGGGTGCTGGGCAGGGACTTGAACTTTCCTATGGGTGGGGAAAACCTGGAAGCTTTCAGATTCGGGTTTTCCTGCATGTGCCAATATGACATCTCTAATAAAATGGAACTTTGAGGAACTTCTAGCTTCAGAGTCTTCTTTTGTTGGAGGTGTTACTTGTATCCCTGACAGTATAAAACACAAAATGTAGAGGAAAAAAAGCATATTCATGGTTTCAAATCTCTGTAGGAATTTGGAAACATGCCTTTTATCAGATATACTTTATTCTATTTTCCATCCTTCCATCACAAAAGTATTGAGAAGCATAGCATATTTTCTGCAAAATAATTCTTCTAGTTGACACTGACTTGAAGACACACACATACACACAGATATTCCTAATAAATTCAAACAAAGAAATCTAATCAAAAAAATAGATGTAACAACAATTTATTAGATTATATCCCTAATAAATAAGGACACAGTGGCTCAGTAGCTAAGTCACTGAGCTTGTTGATCCAAAGGTCAGCAGTTCAGCAGTTCAAATCCTTAGTGCCGCGTAATGGGGTAAGCTCCTGTTATTTGTCCCAGCTTCTGCCAACAAAGCAGTTCTAAAACACGTAAGAAATGCAGGTAGAAAAATAGTGACCACCTTTGATGGACCTCCTAAAAACAGGAAGCCCAGTAACGAAACCCCGCCCGGGACAACCCCTGCAGTGGGACCTGACCTGCCAACAGGCATTTGAGACGCTAAAAGGAATGTTTGCGAAAGAACCTGTCTTAAAATACCCTGATCCTGAACAACCTTTCATCATCCAAGCAGAGGCAAGTGATGTGGCAGTAGGAGCCGTGTTACTCCAAAAGAACAGTCAAGGTGATCTACAACCCTGCGCCTACACCTCCCGCAAGCTCACCGACACAGAGAGGCAATGGGCGGCGTGGGAGAAGGAAGCGTTCGCCATAAGGTGGGCATTGTTGACCACCTGCAGCACCTGCTAGAGGGAGGCCAGAAACCATTTGAAGTCTGGACTGATCAAAAAACCTGGAAGCCCTAAAAACCCCACGGAAACTGTCTCCCAGGCAAGTCCGGTGGGCTCAATACTTCAATCGTTTCAATTTCGAGCTTAAGCACATCCCAGGAGGGAGGAATTTCCTGGCTGACACCCTCTCCCAAATGCCCCAATACAACAGTGAGCGGGAGCAAGTAGTGAATGCCATCATCCCCTCCACCCAAGCAGCGGCTCAAGTGATCACCAGACGGCAACAATGTGACCAGCAGGGCCAACTTGCGAGTGACTTAACTGCAAAATTAAAAAATGAGACACTGACAGACCCCTGGTTCTGAGACAATCAACATCTCTTGACAAAAAGAGACAACCTAGCATGGAAAGGGACAAAGCTCTATGTCCCACAGACTTTACGCACCCTGACCCTCAAGAGGAGCCATGATGTTAAACCAGCAGGACACTTCGGTTTCCTAAAGATGCTGCACTTAGTACGAAGGCAGTTCTGGTGGCCCCACATGAGAAAGCACGTGGACAGTTATGTAAAAAGCTGCACCATTTGTGCCACGATGAAAACAAGACCAGGTTGCCCGCCTGGACTGTGCAACCAGTAGCTGAGCCGTCAAGACCATGGGAGGAGATTGCGATGGACTTCATAGTAGACCTACCGAGGAGCAGTGGGTATACAGTGATCTGGACTGTAATAGACTTATTCTCCAAACAGGCACACTTCATTCCTTGTAGCGGACTGCCCTCAGCCCGCCAGTTATCCAAACTGTTCCTGAAACACATCTACCGCCTCATGGAGTCCCCAGGAGAATCATCTCCGACCGAGGGATCCAGTTCACAGCAAAGTTCTGGAGGGAGTTTCTACGATCCATAGGGTCATCCCAAGGGCTCAGCTCAGCATTTCACCCGAGCACCAATGGGGGGGCAGAAAGACTGAATGCTATGATAGAACAGTATTTAAGATGCTACGTCGACTACCAGCAGTCCAATTGGGCAGACCTCCTATCTTTTGCGGAGGTCGCATATAATAATGCTGTCCACAGCAGCACTAACCCCGTTCAAAGTAGTGGGTGGCATGGATTTTGTCCCCATGCCAGAGTACCCGAGGGAGCCCCCTTCCTCAGTCAGCTTGACCGACTGGATGGCAATGTTGAGAGAAACTTGGGAGAATGTCAAGAGGGCATTGGCCAAGGCGGCTCAATCTTATAAGAAATAAGCAGACAAGCACCGAACTCCCCAAAGACCATTTCAATTGGGAGAGAAAGTCTACCTTTCCACCAAGTACTTGAGACTTAGACTCCCGAGCAAGAAATTAGGCCCAAAATTTATAGGACTGTTCCCTATAGTAAAAATAATCAACCCCGTTACAGTACACCTGCAGTTGCCACGGCTCACCCCATTTTTCACAGTAGCCTTCTGAAACCTGTAGTGGAGTCTACCTTAAGGCCGATGCCACGTGAGCCCCCTGGGCCCCTGGTTGTTGGGGGCCA